GCAAACACAGCTTATTCTAAATTGGTACAATCAATCTCTTGATAGCGTCTAAATTATACTACAGATATAAAAATAGTTTTAAAAACAACTTAACACGTAAGTAGGAAGGAAATAGCGATACTGATTCTTAGAAAGCTCTAAAGACGCTTTAAACAAATCTAAATAATTTAAGGTGGAAATTGTTTTAAATTTCTGCAGAAAATATATATAAAATTGAATTTAAAAAAAAAAGTTTAATAAATTTCGGAATATGAAATGAAATACATAAAAATATAACAACTTATTAATCAAGAATAATCTTGTAGTTTTTTGATAAAAATAGACTAATTTGCAATAATTAATTTTTAAAATTAATTGAGTATAGATTCCAAAATTAAAGTTTAAAAATAACTACTGGTCTTGCAATACGTTAGGTTATAATCGCGTTGCTAAGTATCCACTTAGTTGTTTTGGTACATTGTGTTACCGTATAAGAACTTATAGGTATGAAACCCATCATGAATCTTTGGCAAAATGCTCTTTAAAAGGAGGCTCAGGAGCTGGCCAAGATTTGTAAAAATATAAGCCATGCTATAAACGAAAGTTTTTGATATTTTAAGTTGTTATGTCAAAGTTAAAGAGTAAAAAAGGCAAATAAATCATTAAATTATGATAATTATGATTATTAGAGAACAATAAAAGAGCAGAAAAGTGTTAAATTCAAATTCGAAATTGCAAAATTAAAAACATTTTTTTAAATATTAAATTCAAACTATTTGTTTTCATTTTATATCATATATTTATTTTTCAAATAAAGTTAATTAGCGAACTTTGTTTTTGTATTTTCCAGTAATAAAAATATTACTTACTTCTAACTAATTACAATTTTTCTTATAATACTTTTGGAATTTATTATTTCTCCATATAAATGCTTACAAAAATAATTAAAAACTAATATCGCATTTTACTTAAAAGACTTCAGAGTTTCATGCCAAACGACCATTGTTTCCGCCGACATTTAACTTCGGTTGCACTTAAACGGCTACTATGTTGCGATAAATGCCGTACGCGTGCCTAGGCACCATCATCATTTATATGAATTGCATTACAAATATTGAATATTGCATTCCAAGTCTGTATCTTTATATGCTGCCAACTTTTTTCCAATCATTCGCACTCGTTTCATTCATACAGACTTCAAAGCTAAACTGCAAAGCTACAAATTGCAAACCAGTTTCATTATTTATAGTTGGTGCAGTGGACTCGATATACTCGTAAATGCTAGATGTGTGCGTCTACCATTCATGGTTTGCACTTTTAGACTTCATCAATGAATGCGTGTTAGTTGGTTTTCAATGAAATTGCCGTGTTGTTGTGAATGAGTGCCTACGGTAGGTGAGGTGTTGTAAATCTATGTCCGCAGGCAGTTTCTGTAAACTGTTGTTGTCCCAGTAAAAGCAACCATCACTAGTTTCAACACACATAATACGTGGCACCTGGTAAGCATCCACTACATCATCAACTCCATTAACAACTGCAGCTTCAAGTCCAGCACTAGCACGAGCTTTCATTAAACGATCGTTAGCTTCATTTTGTGCAATTTCAATGCTAGTTGTTATAGCAGCCACATTATTATTTTTTTGTTTAGTGTTGTTGTTGTTAATATTCTTACTGTTGTATTTGTTTTTTTGTACAAAAAGTTTTTTTAGTAAATTTCGCGCCGAAACTTTAAATTTTCCAAAAGATTTTAATGAAGTTTTACTATTTTTTAAGCAAATCATTTTGTTCCAAATTTTTATTAATATAAAATCCTTTATTTAATTTTTAACCGCACAGTTTGCCTGTCCGACTTTGAATGTAATGTGTAGTCCTGCGGTCCGGCTTTTATAACAGTTTCAGTCCTTAGTTCAGTTCAAAAAGCACAAGTGCAGTTTATTATTTGCGCATGTGTCTACATTTCTCTTCACTGCTTTTTGTTTTGCAGTTGATTTTTATTTTACGGCAAGTGCAATTTTGGAATCTTCGTCTGACAAGTGTTGTGTACGTTACACGTGTTTAAACGACGTTCACAAAGTTTCAAAACCCACATTGGTTTAAAAACGTGCATAAAGTTTCGACGTTTCACCAGACACACTCCGCACTGCACGCTTGGCCTTTGCCACCCCTTGTTTCGTGTTTCGGCACCAATGTTAGCATCCTCGATATATTGTACATGTGATCATCTTCATGCCAACCCTACTTCATAAGGATAAATTATTTTTTGTTCATATTTATTTTGTTATTTTATTGTCTGTATCCGAATTGAGTACAAGCGGCAGTTGCAGTTCCCATCGTAAGGGTGCATGTATCTTCAATATTTACATTTGTGGAATTTCGAAAAAGTATCCCACGGTTTATTTTTAAGTGGCAGATGTTTGCAATTTGGTGTTGATCAGCACAGTTCACAGCATTACACTATCGCTCGCATTTGCACTGGCATTGGCCCTAGTAGTGGCAATGACACTGGCAGGAGGAGAAGTACCGTAGAGGTGTACGTAATATTGATAGGATATCTGTGATAATTGCAAGTGGTTGTGGTGGTTGCTACACTTGTTTGCAGGATATTTTTTTAAATGTACTTATAGATATGTAATAAGATATATACCATAAATGTTTGAGTTAAGTGTGGGAATCTTTTTGATATTGGTTTTATTAATTTATTTCTTGACATTTTCTTTGCCGTAAAAGTAGTTTAGAATTTATGGAAGAGGAGACAAAAATTTCACACTTAAATTTTTTTTGTCATAGTAAAAATGGAATTTTTTTGCATACATTTAGTGCTATTGAAAGCACAAAATGAATTTTATCAACCTATCTGGCCTACATAAGTGACATTTTAATAAAAATTACTAACACAGTGTTTATAGTATGGTTTTTCAGTAATTAAAATAGTTGCAATTAGTACATGATGCTGATAGTAAATTTTCAATTAAATTCACTTGTTACGTTATTTAATCAGGTGTCTTCTGTAATAGCTAGACGCGTGTTAAACACGTTTTAAACTTATAGAATTAGTGGGGAGAAAACAGGGCTGTTGTTAATGGTTTTGTATATGCACGTGACATAATTTTAGAACGTGTGTCCACTCATCCTTTTCAAAAATAAATAAATATAAATTTATTATTAATGTAATGTACTTTCTGTTAAAAACTGTGATTACTAAAGAATTATGTATCAAGTGTTTTGACTCGAGATTATACATAGAATCACATATACAGTACTTTTCATTTAAATCAAAATTAAAGCGATGGTGAAAAATATTTTGTTTCAAGTAAAAACAAACTTCACTTGAAGTTTAACTTAAAGAATAACTTAATGAAGTTTTATTTAAGAATAACTTATTGAAAATATGTGCGTATTTTCTATTTTGATTCATATTAGCCAAAAGTTCGTCACGAATTTAATACATAGCCTTCCAGGCGAAGCTTGGCTTGTTAAATGTTATCCCAACTCCTTTTCAATGAAAGCAACTGTAGGTTTTAAATGAGATTAGATTAGATTAGATTATGCTGGCAGGCCAAAAAGGCCACGCGTAGACCACTAAGGTCCATTGCGATACCAGATCAGAGTCTTGTTTTAGCGATTGTATGCATCACTTAGGATGCGCGTTTCATTAGCAAAATTTATTAAGATTCCAACAGAAACCTCAGGTATGTACTCCAGTCCTGCAAAACTGAAAGCCCCAAGTATTTTTGTCGAGTTCTCGAGAGAGCCGGGCAATTACACTAGAAAACGCCAAAAGTCCAAAAAAATTGCTTTGGAAAATTGTGAAATGTAGTTATAGAAGATAGCTGACATTGTAAACATATCAAACACAAAGTTGATTTTGCAATGAGTATCGTCTTTGCTTATAGCAGCAACAGTGAACGCTCTATACAGTTATTGATGCGTCTGAACAATGAAATCACGAAAAACATACTTTAAATGCAGAAGAATATAATGTTGTTTCATTAAGATAAACTACCGTCTTACAGATCATTGGCGAAATTATTGATAAATCTTTCTGGAATGATTTTTTTATTTTAGAAGGATGTTTAAATTTAATTTTAATATTATAACAGAATAACATTAATAACTTGGAATATTATCAAATTCTGATCAGTCAACAAAATTTTTGTAAAGAGTATTTATATTAGTTGGAAATTAATTTATAAAATATATATATATTGTACTGGAAATAGTGTTCCTAAAAAAGGTACACTATCTAATGTGTGTTTAGCAACTTATATTAGGGGCGTTACTGAAGAAATAGAAATGTCATACGGCTTATGCAAAATTATTATATTTTATTATACTTAGGCGCATATCGAATATAATAAATAAATTACAGTTAAATACGTTTTTATATTATTTTAAAAAAGTTTATATAATATATATATACAATTCAGTATAGTTTTTTAAAAACATGTTTAGCTCTTAAGTTAAAACTCTTAAGTTTTTTAACAAAATTTATATAACAAATTTATGAATGAAAGTTTATCATGTTTACATATCATCCCAGATTATACAGATTATATTGTATACAACTTTTTACTGTAACGGATTTGAGGTAAATCCCAAAATGAACATTATCGCTTTATCTTAAGTCATATCTCTGACTTTGGAGTGAACCTTTGACATTTTCATGGAACAGATAATCGAGAGAGATCATTATTTCTTAATATCAATTATAAAAATGACATGCACATACAATATATTTAATGCTTTTTTAGACACTAAAGTTGAGAAGAACTATGGTAAACATAAAAGAACTTTAAGCCTCTTTAAGTTGCAATGTAACACAAAATGTACTGATAATTGTAAGAAAAACTTTATACATATAATAATGAGTCGGCAACGTATACATTTTAAACAAAACCAAAAGTTAAAAAATTATATATTTTTCAATAATATTGTGTTTATTAAAAATTGTTAATACTAATAAAGCTCAGTTTACAATACAAACTAAAAATTTCTAAACTAATTAAAGCTTTTATAAAATTGTTTTACTTAATCTATAGTTATCACAGTTTTTATATCGCAGGCGTTGTGCAGTTAAAGCTTAGTGAGTGATTTTGTGTTTTGCACTATTTACCATGGACGCCAAACAGTTGAGAGTACAGGAGTAGCCATTGAACTTTCATCGCAATCACTGTGATAACCGGATGAAGCTGGGCTAACTGGTCTGGGAAAATGTGATTTTGTACTAAGTGTATCTTGATGTTGTTGTTGTGTTTTGTGTTGTAATAATCGATTGAATTCAACACCTAAATGGCTCATAACAGATTTTCCAAGTTCAACGCTCATACCCGGAGTGGCTGCCATAACGCGGGAAACTTCATTGACTGCATTCATATAACCATTGCAAAAGCTATCCATTGGTGGTGACGTCCATGCAGTTTTTAATTTACATACTGCCTGGCTGCGCATATATACAATTGTTGTTTCCAGCATCTCAGCTTTATCCATGCGCAAAATAGCGTCATCAGATTGGAGCTCTGCAACAAGTGTCTTCAAAGCATCTAAGCATTTATTCATACGTGCACGTCGTTGACGTTCGAGAAGAGGCTTCTTAACTTTCAAATAATGTTGAGTTTTGGAAATGTATTCGACTTTGGCGCACATTTTTACGTACAATTTTAACTTTATGTTAAAATGAATTTATTTAAAATACAACGTGAAGTTCTTTTCACTTTGAAGGACTGTGTAAATATGATATGCGTACAGCACTTGCAGCAGATTTTATACACGAGTGCCACACGAACAAAATCAACCCCTAACTGTGGCAACCGAACAACACGAACAGATAAAACTGCGTGCCAAGAGTGTGACTGACGAACAGATACGAATTCCTTTAGGAATTTCTTGTTTCTGCAACGTGAAAACCGAACGCATGGGTATGCGATCTTCATCGCAACTTCATCGCACAGGAACTCAATAAGAAGTTAATTAGTTATGAATAATGCACATATATAAATTACTTAGAAATTATTTTAGAATGAATTTCCGCCGAGAAGCAAATTAATGTGCAATTTATGTGATCATCATTAGCCGCGTGTGCCAATAACAACGCCAATGTAATTACTACCGACTCGTATCTTGTCATAAAATACCACAGCAAAATCACGAAATTGCTTGCAGGTCTTAGTATTTAACTGAAATTACTTTAACTGCTGCCGTTCCAAGAGATATTTCCTACCAATCCACGCATATGGTATACTCAATATCAATGTGTAAAGTATAAGCATCAATTTCAAGCTACTATGTTTAACAGCTTAAAGTTGGCAAGGCAAAACTCATGCTAAAAGTGTGGTCATTGAATGAAACTACAGTCTTGTTGGAATATACAGTAGCCTGCCTGCTATGCATACGTACACCACAACCCAATGCTGCCCAACTAACCAAGTCACGACTCGTGTCGCCAACATTCAAACAACATACTCCCGTTTAGCCTCAAAAGCCAATAAGCAAACATCAGAGAAATAGCGAAGTAAAAATCAGGATGAGGTACTTAAGTGAAAACAAGTAAGACAACAACAATAAATATGCTACACCAAGTCGAGCTTTAAAACAGAAAAGAAAGACACCAAAAAGGAAAACCAAAGGCAGGTGTTCACCTCGCGTGGGAAACACACGACAAAATCGGTTCTCACGATTCACAAAATCCAACAGAGCCACAATTGTTAAGGCAGTTAATGCACTTTAGTTTATACACTCTGACGGTGGAATGACTGTTGTTTAGTAAGTTTACTGGCGCGTTATACCAATTGACGCTCTTAGCAATTTTCTTGGTTGGGTAGACTTAACCAAGTATGTATGACTGTGGTGCTGGTACATTTATTATGCATGAAGCATTGCCATGTATATTTATAGTATACTCTCTTCTCTTTGGTCAAAGTCAAAGATGTTAACGTGTTGTTAATGTGCTGGGATACAGTTGTTGGATTTGGAACCTCGATTTGCTGTACTCATTAACTTTAGTAGTTTTATTACAACGTTAAGGTGACTTAACGACTTAAAGGTTAGCATTGATATTATAATTTAGCACACGAATCGATTGTAATTATTGCTTCTTGTATATACTATTCGCTACTGTTAAATCAAATTAAAAACAGACAAATTTTTCTTCAATTATAATAAAAAGTAACTAAAAGAAAAGGAATGTAACAATAATAATGAAATCAATTTAAAATAACCTATAACGAATGTACTCTACAGCAACTTAAACAAACCCAGTTGTGCATTATCTTAACAGTTTTCTTGCATCTATTTCTATTATTTTTAACAATACAAATTGGATTCTTTAAATGTACTAAGAACTACCTGCATCTGTCTTTCAATAAGAATTTCGAAACATTCCCACACTTTTAAGGTACACTTAAGGTGTATGCACTACATTATCCTGCGCACACTTACCTTGATTTGTAGGGGTTGCTTCTTTATCAACGTATAAATACCGACATCAAACGAATCTAAGCAACAGAATCACCTCAACTTTCTACGAGTACACAACTCACATTACTTTAAACTATAAAAATATTTCAATAATATGTCTTCCAAAGTTGTTTACCGTTCAAAAACTGAACATTACCTCAAAGTAAAGAAACCATTGATAGAACGTCAACGTCGTGCACGTATGAATAAATGCCTGGATACTCTAAAGACACTTGTAGCAGAATTCCAAGCTGATGACGCGATATTGCGTATGGACAAAGCTGAAATGTTGGAGACAGCGATCACTTTTATGCGTAGTCAAACTATACAAAAACCACAAAACGTTACAACTACACCATCAATGGACGGCTATTGCAATGGTTATATGAATGCGGTTAATGAAGTTTCCCGATTTATGGCAGCTACTCCTGGCATGAATGTGCAAATTGGCAAAACTGTTATGACTCAACTTGGCTTTGAGTTTAAACGTTTACAACAGAACAAGTCACAACTTACAGCCGTTTGCAGTTCAAGACCTGTCAGTCCAGCTTCTTCAGGTTATCATAGCGATTGCGATGAGAGCTCAATGTCAACTCCGGTAGAAAAACCTATTTGGCGTCCCTGGTAAATGCAGTTTTTTGGGCAACTTATATGAAACATTGCTGTGATGTAAAGAGCTGTGATATTTTTCTTTTGAAAAAAGTAATAAAAAGCTTTAATAATGTAAGACAAATAACTTAATGCTATATTTTATAATAATGTATCTGCAACAATAAAAATTAAAAATAAAAAAAAATTCTAATTTTTAATTTATTTCAACATTTTAAAAAAATTATTCTTGATGTTATTGTTGATTTCTGATTTTTTTATTTTTTTGTTGTAAAATATTAAGTTTTGTTGCTTTTCGTGAAGTTGTCATTAAGGATCTAAATACTTTTTTGAAACTATAATATAATGTCAGCGCAAATGCGTTAAAGTCAATGAGTACGCGATGCATATATCGAAACATATTGTCCATACAGCTTCCTCCAATTGAAGGACCTTTATATAACCAGTATTAATATATTTATATCTTTCTTGATGTATTGAAGTTTGAAATATGGTTAATAAAAATGAGTCTTTTACTTTAAAATTGACATTCGAACTAACTTCTTCGAATGTTCAAAAAATGCTACTCCCGAAAACTGTTGGAAATATTTTTTTAATATAATATTATGAGAGCCAGATTATAGAGAGCTAAAATTCATTGATTATTGTTCTACGACAAAAAAAATTAAATTTGTTGGTAATTAAAATCGTCAATTGATGATATAAAATTGATACCTTATATTCGAATATCTTCCGATTTCTTTCCGATATTAAAAAAAATCACATTAACTCTGCTCCAGATCTTAAATCACACCAAGTTATGATTTCTGTGAATTTAAATGCCTTTAAATGCCTAAAGGTGACAATTTTGTTTATATTTGAAGCCAATTATCAAGAAATGAATTTCATTGCTAAATTAAATGATAAAGATGATTATTTCATATAATGGATATTAATTTACGCTAAAGTCCAATCTTATAAATTTCTTAGTAATATATGGTTAACTGAAAAAACTTTTCAGGTTAGTTACCAAGTACAATTAATTCCATTTCATATTTTTTATGATGAATGTTTATTCAGATAATAATGTAAAATTCAGTTAGAGGGATCTACTGCTTTTATCTGTTTAACTAAAATGTTATATATAAATAGTATTAGTAACAAATAAGTGTATGTTGTACAGATATGTTTTAAAAAATTATTGTGATGTTATATACAAATATAGGTAATCATGCTAGGAGACTGAATCTTCCGTTCAACCATTTTTGCCGCAGTTGTAGTGAGGATGACGAAAGTGCCTCTCACCTGCTTTCTTCGTGTCCGGCACATGCACGGGATCGCCTTAAATTTTTGGGAGACCTCCCTCTATGTAGCATCGTAAGCTTTGTTAAAGGTTCTGGATGGTTTTAGCCCATGGGTTCTAAATAATACGGTATCACAATGGGCCTATGAGCCTAAGTGGATCCCCCTGGGATCGCCGGTTTAACCTAACCTAACCTATATACAAATAGATTCATAATAACTATTTAATTATTTTATATCAGTACCAATTCAATTCCAACAAAAATTGTCAATGCCAAATTTAAAATAATATTAAAGTTATTGTGTGTTCTTTAACATTATAAAAAAGTATTATTAATCATTATATAGTTAGCATTTAAAACGTTTAATACCTTCAAATTAATATTAGTGAGTTTCCAATTTTTACAGAACTAAAACTTTACTGCACATAATACTATTTCTTTGCATAAAAGTTCTTATTGTCATTAAATCATTGGAATATCTCACAGTTTCACTAAACAATTACATAGGCTTTATAATACAGAAACAGCTACGTGACAAGTAAAACGCTTTTCTTATACACACAAACACTTTATTATAGGTTTATCCCACTAATTAAACAAATGTTCAACATATGATATTATTAACTTAGCCAATTCGTCTTACCATATCTCACAATGCTCACAGTGAGCTAAACTATCTACTATTCCAGACGTGATTTAATGCTGTTTTGTTTTATTGAACTTGAAGGAATTCGATGAAGTAACTCAGCAAAAAATATCGATGCACCCATTCAGGGATGATATTTAACAGAAACAGGTACTGTGTTGCACACGTGCACACCTTATGTAGAAAAATGTTTATAAAATTTCCAAAGCATACAAATATACCTGACAATAACGAACCTGTTGGCTGGCAGTATGGTAACGGTCATTAGAGGTAAACATCAGAACCGTGAGAAAGGTAAGATATTAAAAAATGTAGGAAATGTCATTGAACACGTAATGGAATCCGATATTGCACCAAGGGGTTGCTTATGTCAGTTATAAATGCTTTAGCCTGAGCAGTGCAGGGTGCACGTGTGGAGAGCACGTATTACTTAGTGCATTAACAACTTTGTAGGGGGTTGTTGTTGCTAGTAATCAAATAGTGTCGGAATTTTTGTATACATTTATACAAGTGTGATGTGGTTTGTTGATAAGGTCCCAGAAATGTTCACTATGTTTGCACTAGCTCTGAATGACATGTATACTTCAAATAACTCCAGTTACGATTTATTTTTCTGTTGGTTTTTGTTGGTTTGCTCGGTTAAAACTGTTGTTCTTGTATATTAATAGTTCTTCTTGGTGCAATTGATTTGAATTTCAATTTTTTGAAGTGTACTATACATGACACCACTTCGATTGCGGCGTAACATGATCTTTGGACCCACACGTTGCATTTTAATCTTCCAATCATCTTTTTTGTCACACACATCGCACTACAGTGCACATGTGGCAAGTACTGTAATGCCGCTTTGTCACTCGAGCTCATATAACACGATGGATTAGTTTTAGTTAAATATTTCTTGGGAGTAGTTTAAACAAATAATTGCCGTCGAGTTGGAGTGTGGTTATGTTTACATTCCAGTGAATTCTTTATAAAAAAAATTCCTCTTTTTTGGTCTTAAAATTCTTCTAAAAAGTAAACAAGCGCATGCCAAGCGCATTTCAAGTGGCTTGTGCTACTAATAATGGATATTAAAATAAGTAAGCATAAGATGAACGCTTCAACAAAAATAAAAAAGTTATGAAAAAGTGGAGACGTGGTCTGTTATATGAGTCTTTAAATTTTATCTCGAAACTGAGTTACAAATCGCTAGTTAACACTTGAAGTTGTGCTGTCTTAAATTTCATTCCATGAAATTTTCGCATTACGTTTTGAAGTTATTACGTTGCATTGCATTCAAACGTGTTCGAAACTGCTGACTAAGAAAATTTGATTTATCCTTTGTGGATATTTCCTGCTCTCTGCGGCTGACCATAATAAAATTTTGTTCACGATCGCATGATTATTGGTGGCGTGATTTACTAAGAACCGAAACATGTGTGCTCATTTCACAAGCAAAAATTTGTTATGCCTTCTTCAGTAATTATCCCGCGTTCAGCTATATTTTGAGAGTTCGCCTTCATTCCGTTTTCTTTTATATACATATATATTATATACTAAAAAACAAAAAAAACTCTGAGTTACAATTTGCTAAGAGATAATCTTTAACCCCCTAGTGAGCTGAATTCACTGAATTGACAGTGCAGACATTCACTTGGGCGTGCTTGTAATGAGGTTTCGACTTATCCCAAGTCTAGACTTGTTCATGACTCAGTTTTTGTTTGTAAAAATAATTAAGTTAAAAGTAGTTAAAATTTTAGTAATTTGTCTTAATGTAATTAGGGTTAAATTGATTTTTTAAAAAAATTATCTCATTTCTTGGTCTTATTTCCATCAATTTTTAGTTATGCCATAAATCCCTTTTTCATTTAACCAATTATAATCATTTGGTATGCAGTTTTATAAAAACTAGTGACTCATATAACGTGAAAATGACAAATTGTATATTATTCCATAACTTCTACTACCTGTTTTTGAAATAACAAAAAATTATATTCTCATAAAACTATAATTATAGCAGATACCAATAATGGATAAAAAAGTTTCTCTGTCATTTTAAAATGTAAACAAAAATTTTGTATTTGTTATAATTTTAAAATTTATTTTAAAAGTTTCGTTTGTGATAATGTCTAATATAACTAAATAGCTATATTCAGACTTATCAATAAAAAATTAAGAAATTCCGTTGTTTAAATTTTGTATCTATCCAGTTAAGGGAGACTGTAGTGTCAAATACTTTTAAATGTCATTTTAAGATAGAAGTTATACTTCTTGTTTTTGACCAAATTTATAGATAATATATTTATTACCATACACCTAAAGCGTTTTCATTTCTACTCATAATTCTAATTTTCCTACAAAATCTTTACTTTATTTAAAGTTGGTTTCACTTAATTTAGAGTCGCCAGTATAAATTCAGAATTTTTTTTTTGAATTTCGAGTAAATTAATTAAAATATACTTAAAATATAAATATATAATTAAAAAATTTCTTTTTTTATTATTAATAAATTTAAATTTAATGAAACTATTTTTTTTAAAAAATGTTTAAAACACAGTTGTGACATAAATATTTAGTACAGAGAGGTTTCGAAATATCACAGTTTCTATTAGGTAAAAAGGGTCCCTACTGTCATGCTGACATTAATATTAAATTTAATCTAAGTTCATAAAAACAGTCAGGAATTAATTAGTTGTGAACTTTATTAGGTAGCACGATATTAAGTAGGTAAGGATGGGCACCATTAGGCGATGGAAATCAATGGGCCTGAATATGAACTAAAACTAATAATAATCCAATGTTATTATTTTAATGTTAATTAAAATTCAATAAATCTAGAATATTTAAGTAATTACACACTTTTGTATATTTTTTTTATTGATTAATTGTGATAAACATATATATATACAGGATTTACATGTAAAGTGGACTATCATGAAGGGGGCACTATAAATTCTAAAATCACAGTGCAAATTCCTCAAATATAATTGCAATAATAAAAATATTAATTTTTATTTATTATGAAATAAATTCTTATTTTGAAATTAATAAATACAGATATATAAAGATTCTGTAAGTTGATAGTTAAGATTTCCAAATAAATACAAGAAATAGCATAGTATTCATATAAGACTAAGCTTTCAAACTGTATCGTATTGTTTAATATGGTTGATAAAAAGGCGCGGTTATAGTAATTTTTAAATTTAATATATACAAAATAAAATTTTAATCAGCTACCTTATCAAAACACCAGTAATTGTTCTGTTACATAGTCTATATGAATAAGTATCCCATCGTTTTTAATTTAATGATAACTACCATAGAGATTAAAGACTTTTTTTCAGCTTAACCATTTTGTGTAATAATTTATTCTATTAGTAGTTATTTATGCTATTAATAGTTCAATGCTGTTTGTGATCGTAGAAAGTTTATTTATTAATTTGGTATATTGATAGTTTAGCTTTTAGATATTTCATATATCTGCTATTGCACAGTGCTGAAAAAAGATTGTTAAATTTCTTAAAATAAAACTTAAGCATTAAATTTAAATTTAATTTTAAATTCAGTTTATATTTGTGCTTCTAAAATATTTCTGAGTCTGCTTAAAAGCAGAAGTAAAAACTGTTGATGGCAAACTGTTATTATTTAGATCAATTTATTAAAAATATTTGGATTCATATTGATGTACTCAGTGACAGTTTCGATAATAACAACGCTCAAGATCAAATCGCTATGGCTTCCTCTATCTACTATTGAAACACGTGTTGTTTTTACATACAACAACTAAGTACACTGTACATTAATATAAAATAAACTGGATATCTATAGAGATTTCTGTGACATTAGTGTATCTGGTTGTTGGCTTAAAAACTATTTTGCACCAAAATGTAAAGCTAAGAAAATTCAACCTATAACTAACATACATACAATATAAAAAGGCTTTCATAAACTTCGATTAGAAGTTAAGCATTTTGAATGGATTATTTTTAAGTTTAATTTACCACTGCTACTTAATAAAGTTCTCAATTAATTAGTTTCTGATTCTTTCTTTATTATATATTAATATAATATATAATTTTATATAATAACATATTTAATACAAGACCGGTGCTTTCAATCGAATAAGATAATAAATAATTTTTTAAAATCTATACAATAGATTTTATAAATATTTTAGGTAACCATGTTAGAAGACTAAATCTCCTTTTCAATCATACCTGCTGCAGTTGTGGAAAAAACGATGAAAGTTCCTCCTATCTGCTTTGTTTCTGTCCAAAACATGCCGCCTTATCACTCTAGGGGCTTTCTTTTTGAAGATGTTGGGGAACTGTAAAAGCTCCCCCTGAATAGAATTATGAGGTTTATCAAAAGTGCTAAGTGGTTCTAACCCTTGAGTTTTTATTTATATGGTAACACAATAGATCTATAGTAGATAACTTGAGATCGTTAGTATAACCTACCTACATACCTATTGTATAATATCTGTTATAAATTGCTTCATAAAGATATTTTATTAAAAAAATTTTTTTTAATGTTTTAACTTGTTCTTTTTATATTATATAATTTTAATATGTATTGATTGTTTTAATAACTTAAATTATACCATTTAGTAATTATACTAAATAAGTCTTTCTGCAAGCTGTTAATTGCCAATTTTATCCTAATACTTTTAAGTGTTCAAATTACGAAATTTACAGATTTAATAAGAAAATCTGTTTGGTACTATTTAATCTTTAATCTTTAATTTTACATTTATTTAATGAGATATTTAATAAAATGTAATTTTTTTCACTTTTAAACCTATAATTAAGTAATTGTTTTGAAATCAAGTGCTTTTATTGCAATTATTAATCTTCATAAAATTTTTCTAATAGTTTTTAATGTGCCAGTTATGACAAGCAGTAATGGTAATTACTACCTGTTATTGCTATAACCACAATCAATTGCACTTTATCATCCTTAAAATTATAACAATTACACAATTAATCTGAGAAGTACATTAATACACGAAATATTGACATATGAACGGACACATTCAATAATTGAGTTCAACTTTCTCCATAGGTCTTGTGGCTTACTCGTGTCCAAACAAATTTGTGCTCCTATGTAGCTGATGTGTGCATGCAGCAAAATGCAACAGCACTCGCATGCCCCAAGTACGTTACAGCGCACGAAACAAATTATTAATTTCGTTTTATATATAAATTTTTTCTACAGACCAAGTTAATAAATAAAAAAACATCACACTTTAAAAAATAAAAAACTATAAAATGTACACAAACATTTAAAAAAAAATAGTAATTCTCTTATTTGTCGTATACGTGCTCAAGCGCCCATGTGATCACCCATAATTTGATCCTTTTTAACACAACTACCTTTTTTTTACAGTCACTTTGTTAAATGTTGTTTTAATTTATTTCATTTAACATTTTTTTATTCAAAGTTTTATAAAATGTTTTTTCATTCTAATTTTTATGTGTCATGCCTTGTCTTCGTACAGTTTAAAAAGGCTTGATGCTTTCTTCTTCCTAAAATTAATGTAAAACCGAATATAAAATTTTGTGGATGCTTCTCACGCTTTAAAAAGGTTCATTTTGTATTTATTCTATATGAAAACGATTGTCTCATTAAAAAACCTAAAAAACCTATATAAAGAAAATAATAAAATATTTCAAACAGCAAAAGTCTTAAATTACACACCTCAAAATTATGGCATAAAGGATCATTTATTTCAGATAGTTAAATATATAGGCATTGGATGCCTATACATAAAAACGCAGCACTATTCATGCGTTAAAAATCGAAAACATTCTCCCACGTTCTTCTGTTCAACAGTGTCCAAAGGACACAAATGCACACGTGTTCAAAATTTTATATTACTCCAACAAAGTAGTAGGATTTTTTTTTAAATGCATTAAAAATAAGATAACAGAGCAATTGGAAACAACGACAGCTATACACAATCTTAAAGGCATATCAAGTGATCATTAAACCAAGCATACGAGTATAACGTAAAATATAAGAATTAAGGATCCTTTTTAAGTAGAAGATTTTTTATTTATTTTAATTTTTTTTCAATAAAACAGCTTATTGAAAAGTGTGGGAACATGTACAAACTCTGGCTTCTCACGATCCTTTTAAAGGATAAACATTTTTTTGAACACAATATGCATTATCCTTATGGTCCCCATTATAAATACAATCTACTTGTATGAAAAGTACGAATATATTGCTCTGCTGCTTCCACATACAGGTTAAATCTGAAACACCAGAATGTGATCTTAAATTTACGAAACACACCTGCCATTTTTTTTGTAGGGATTTTTAACTTCGTGCACAAAATATCCTTGCGTTCCCACACTCAGCAGTTACCAGATTACTTTTTTTGTGTTTGCTTGTGTATCATCATTTAATACACTGAATTTTGTTCTCGTTTTGGGTTTTTTTTCCAAATGACCTGCTCTGTTGTTGTTGTTGTTGATCAGAGCTGAGCAGGAGTATATAAGGCACTGCTCCTGCAGGATAACACAACATTCACAACTTACTATTCGTACAGTAAAGTACAAGAATTTAACTTGCAACCAAATTTTATCTTTTCAAAGTCAAAGTAAAAATATCAAAATGTGCGTAGAAATCAAGAATAATAACATGAACGCTATCATTGAACTCGATGTTAAGCAAACCAAGAAGGTTTCCTATAGCATTAAAAAAGTATTAAAGCAACTCTTCAAACAACATAAGACTGAAAAACTCATCACAAAACAAAACATTGAAAATACTAAGAAGGAAAGCTCTATGGAATCTCTTGAGTCTATCCAGAATTCACAAAATGCTGATATTGAAAGTGGATGCGTTTCTCTGGAATCATATCAAAATGATGTCAATGAACGCTTATCGGCTTGCACTGAACCTGTCTCTTATGAAATGGAAGATTATGAATACGGTGACATTACAACTGTGCCAGTACACTTTGCACGTACCGCACATGGTACTTTCTTCTGGACTGCTGCATCCGATCTGCCTGTTGATAATGATTTAATTGAGCCGTTATATTGCTGCACCGCAAATCAAATTGCTGTACCACAAATGCAGGATCGTTGGGCACAAGCCTAAGCTTGCTGTCACCGACGATGATGATTGAAAACTGTAATAATTTGTCTTCCAGTAGCAGTAGGCAACTTCAAGATGTTTTGAAGTCTTCCATAGCTGTGCCAGAACACAAAATGTCTTCCATTGCTTCTGTTGGTTTTTTCAACAAACAAAAACTGATATGAGGCATATTAACAATTTATGTGATATTTTATATTAAAAAGAAATATGTACAAAATATATATATATACATACAAAACAAAAAAATAAGTCTTTTGATTAGTTATTTTTGCTTTATATTATCATTTTTATTACCGATAGGTTTCACAGTTTCTATCTGTTGTTTTTCTTCACATAATATACAAATGAAGTACAAATGATTTGATATGGTTTTTACTTTTATTGCGACTATAAAAATATTTTTTTTTTTTTGATTATTGCGCTTTTTCATAATTCTTGTAAACATAAATATGGAATATAAATGCAGAATACAGACTTTATTGCATAAATATTGTTCCTCTTTAATAAATTTCGACTATAAAAGTCTTCGCTGGGTACTTGATCAGATTGTGTTCTTGACAAATCTGAAACTGATTAATGTCTTAAGTCCATGACACTTGACAATGTTTATATTGTAATAGAGATATACCATACTATATATACATAAGTATTACAAAGTAAATTTTTGTAAATGATCTTGGTAATACTAATCTGTTAACGATTAATTTTAACGATTAACGATTACATTTAGCGATTAGCGATGTTCATATATACATTGCAAAAAGAAAAATCTCTCGGTTTTTTTAATACCCGAATGCACATTATTTTGCACATAAGTTTGTACAAACAATTGACCATTTGATGTAATCTATTAACTCGTTTACTAATATCCCATGATATTCGACAATTAGAACTGGAAATTATATTTGATATGTATTTTGCAATTTTTATTCAGATCGGTTCAAATTTGAATATAGGGTATAGATATATATTAGATTTTAAACGTAGCCCGTGTAAATGAAATTTAATATGTATGTTAAATTTTATTTGCATCGATTCAGATTTGGATATATAGTTGACAATCAGCTTATAGGAATTTTATTTAGATAATGATAATGTATCAAAACTAGATGGACAGCTAAAAATTTGGCTACATGTGAATGTTATACATGTGATTTAGAATCTAGGTTCTGTACTGAAAACTTTTATATTCATCAATGAGATCTCTCCAAAACATGTATTTAAGAACTTATAATTATAATGTGTATTGTCAGTACAGAGTTATGCGATTTTGCCTTTTTTCTTTTCAAGCAAAAATATCGGTTTCAAGTTATTATTTTATTTTAATAATAAATATAAATATAAATATAAATATAAATATACATTTATAATCTTAAAAGTATTTGGTAGGTTTAAAGGCAACTAATAATGAAAGACACTGTCGAAAGGATAGTTAAAATTAAATATTTCAATTTTATTATAAATTGTTTTTATTTTATGTAGACTTCAAATAATATCGCATTTCTTTGTCATATAAGGAATAGCATTAAAAGAGATTATTAGCATTAAGAGACTGCTAAAGAATTAAAAAATATAAAATAAGCGTTTATTACATATTTTTGCAATTCTTTCATGTGAATTTTAAACCAATTGAACAAAAATCCTCTAATTTTGATTGTTGTCGGAATATTTAGAAAGCATGAGAATATTAAAAATTGCAATATTGATGCAGTCTTCGAAGAAAGTTTTAATCAACTTGAATTTAATAACCGAAAACATGAAAAATTTTTTTAAAATAAATTTAAAATTAGTCTAATTGAAATTGTATATTTGATGCTTCAAGATTTTTTAAATTCTATATACGTTCTATATATATACGTTTGTCATGTAACAGATAATGATCTGGATGTTCATTGTAATAATATTTTCTGGAGGTTTTTTTTTTAATATTCTTTATTAACATTAAACTAATATTAAGAATATTGAGACATTATATTAAGCCGTCAACAGAACTTGTCGGTTTCTAAATTAGTGTATTACAAATGTTTTTAATAGAATATCAGTAATCTGAATAAATTTTAATTATAAAAACCACTTTTTTAATTTAATTTTTTATTGATGTGAGCCTAAAGATATGCAAAACTTATTAATTAATTTTCACAGTTGTTTATAGTAGCACTATTCGCAAAATAACTTTATGTAAAATTACATACGAACTATTTATTCTAAACCTATTTTTGTGAAATCAAGAAAATAATTAAATTTTACTAAATAATATACTGAGAAATGTGATGAAAGGGTTCAAAATTTGCCCTACATGTCTACTGTACTCAAAGAAGTTCTGATTTAAAAAAGTTTAATTAAATTGTAATAATTCGTTTAAAAGGTTATGTAAGCTTTAACAAATGCGCAACTCCTCCTGATATGCATATTTTATATATAGTTGCTTAATAGTATGCAATAAATATTTGATTTTATTTGATAATTTTAGTGATTTGAACAGCAATATTTATCTTAGTATGTTGTAAATGCGAGTACATAACAATTAAATATATTTATATATATATTAAAAATGTATATATAATTGAAACTACTGCATATACAGCGTAATGTTCACTTAAATGTAAAATGTAATAACTTTGAACCTCATTAGGCCATGTTACAGAGACATGTTTAAGATGGCCCGGTTGCATTTGGCAATTCTTTTTTTTTTATTTAACATATTACATGTTAATTGATAATTGTTCATTATTTCGTTAAGATTGCTATTTCATGTGCAAAGTTACATTAAAGGTGATTTAAATTTCAGAAAATATTCACAATCAACAGTTATATAATCATATATTCTGAGCTTCCACCAACTAGACAAAGTATTTATTCGAACTTCTACATTGTTTTTGTATAATAAAGAAACTGAAATTTATTCAAAGGAAATGTATAGCATTTAAACATGACAACGCTTGGAACATATCTCGCGAATTCTAGAAAAAATCAAGACTCCTTGCCTTTGAAGTTTTGATGCATCCATTTATGCCCTGTTACTAAATCTCCATATTGTAATTTATGTGCCTTTCATCTATTTATAAAATATGATTTCCAAATCGTATTGCGACTTGTAGTGGTGGTCAAAAAATTTCGTAATATTATGATTAATAAAATTGTGTTTCAAATTTATATAAAGTGTGTTTTTATTTTGAATATTCAATCTTTTCTGCTTAACTTAATAATAAAATTTCCCGAGCAGAAACAATTCTTTTACGTAAATTTTCTTTACTATTACTGACTTTATTTAAATAATATATAACAATAACAATACTCAGGATGATATGACACTTTTTACTACTTAAACCTTTAAATAAATTAAAATTATTACAATTAAAAGTTACATTTTTACAATTCTTAACCTTCTGGTATTAACATCATATCTTTTAAATAATATCATTTAAATAATATATAACAATAACAATACTCAGGATGATATGACACTTTTTACTACTTAAACCTTTAAATAAATTAAAATTATTACAATTAAAAGTTACATTTTTACAATTCTTAACTTTCTGGTATTAACATCATATCTTACTTTTGCGCCTAAAATTATGTCAAAATTATTTTTACGCCTAAAATCTTTGTGACTTTCCTAATAACGGTTCATCTCATTAATCCATGTACTTCACTTTGTTCATGTTTTATTGCGGTAACCTATTTGATGTGTATGGCTTTTATTTTGAAAATTTAATAGCATTCTTCTATATAAAATTTTTTCATTTTGTTTTTATTGTATTTTTCTTTTTTTGTTATTCTCAATAAGTAGCAAGTATGAATTTGTTTAATGGATCATTTTTCAATTACTTTAATACTTGTTAAACGTATGTAACTATGGTAAAATTAATTTAGTAATTAAACAAAAGCAGATCTAGAATGTTGTATTGCTAAATCCACTCAATTCCTTGTATAAGTTAAGCACCTAATGTGAATGAAGTACATTTATTGCACTTGTTGCTATGCCTGTTGAATGAATTTTATACGAGTGTATTAATAAATTAATAAAATTTACTGTTATGTTTATTGGCATTTCAAAACATTTTTTAAGATTATAATTAAAAATATTGCGTTACTTTTAAAAATAAAAAAGTGAAAGAATAAATTTGTCCACAAAGGCTGATCTTTTTAATCTAGTTCCAGATATCCGAGTCTAACCCAAAAGTCCGGTTTGTGGCTGTGAGACACAGTGAATAAAATATGATTCCATTTTTTTATTTAGTATTTGGTTGGAAATGGATAGAAAGGTACGACTTTTTTGAATGGCCTACAAAGGAAACGATACATAACAGAAAATAAATGTGATTAAAAGAAATTGATATATCTCGACCGTTGACATATCTTTTGCAATCAAAGAAAACGAACATATAAATAAAAATAAAAATTTTTTCCTTAACTGACATTCAAATGTAAAGGATGTAATAAATCCTAAAATACTAACTTATAAAAATTTAAAAACGATAATCATTTCTGTGAAATGAAAAAATTTCTGTTTGCATTTGATGAAAAGTTATACTAAGATTCACACTGAGTTAATTGAAAACTTAATGTGAATCTCTATCTATGGAATTAATGTTGAATTAAAAATATTTATTTAATCTTACTAATTACAAACTATTAAGTAAGTGTATAGAAAATTTAGTATTCAATATTTTAGCATATAGTCAATTTTTACGTACTAACCAAAAATAGTTTTTACAATAAAAATAATAATGGTTTATAATATTGGTTTATTGTCAAAAAATTGTTGTTTAAAGCTCAAAAAAATTGAACGTAACAATTAATTTGAGAAATAACTAATTTTGACAAATTGAAGATAAGTTTTTGTTTAATATTTTTATATGTTGTTCATTTCTTCATTAGTTATTAAATATATATTTGTTGAGCTATGATATATAATCTTTAATCGACTATCCTTTTTAATTGTATTTATTACTAACCGGTATGAGTCAGAGTTTTAATCATAGTCTTTTTTAATATCAACAGCCAATGACTTTGATTTCATTATTTGTGATTTTCACAATTCTCAGGTATGTTTCTACTGCGTCCAGTCACTGTTTTCGCAGTTTTTCTATAGCCGTAGTTCTATCTTCCTTCCTTTGTACTATTTTTCGGTTTGTGGAAGTCGAATATACAAAACATATATATATATATATCAGCCAATCAACGTATGCCTATATTAGTGATATGTTTGAAAAGATTATAAACAAGGCAATATTCCATATTATAACAAAACTATTGTAATATGAATGAATGAGTGCAATAAATAATATGGCAATTAAATTATTGTTCTTTGCAATTTTTTTATTTGGTATTTATTCTTTTAGCAAAAGTTATTTTAAAATCAATGCACTCCCAAATAGATTCATAGAAGAAATGCAGACTGCAGGATCAAAAACAAAACTTAAAAAAAAAACACATAAATCGATTTTAATATTTATACTTATGTTCTTAACAAAGCTTAACCAAACATTAAATTAATAAATTAAATATATACGAATATGTAGGAACAATTTTGGGATTCAACCAAATGATTTAACACATTCGAATCAATCATAGATTAAAACTTATTATTGTAAAATCAATTATTATAAAATTTCAAAATCGTCTATCAAATATATATTCGTTGACATTTTTTGAAGACAAATAAAATAATTTTGATTTATTAAACCAAATCATAAAACTTTAGCTACTAACTTCACTCATTTTATTAAATTTTGTATTTTTTAAGTTGAAACATCAAATTGAAATGGAGTATATTACTGAATAAGATTAGAAACGAGTACTATTATATGAAAGTATTTAAGAGCAGTGTTGAAACGTTGTTAAAATAAAATAAAATCTCATTTCATTTATAAAGATTATTTAAAAAAAAAAATTATGAAATTATTTTTCACTATAAGATGTTTTTGCAATGATCATACAGGGTCTGTGGCTAGCTTCTGCCACATTTTAACTTCATTGTAGAACTGTCAATATTTTTAATCCGAATTTTTAATTGAAATGAATTCAATTTACTATTACTTTATTATGAAATGTAATTCAATTTTTAGAACAAAATAGTTTCTGAAAGCTATTTGAGTTAAATCCATTACTTAAGGACACCCAATACTTAAAGAGTTATTTTAGAAGTCTATTTCAACCATCAAAAATAAAATAAAAAGTAATTATCTCAATAGATTTTCAAAAATGTTTTTTTATTTAAAGCTTTGCATACCATAAATTTATATTTATTTATATTTTACAATAAGTTTAAACTGAAACTTTAACAGAACATGTATTATTATTAAAAAATAAAATGCAATTAAATAAATTAAAATATTTTTATATTATTATCACAGGTACAATATAAAGCCAACTTTATAATAAAATGCCTTGAATTAAAATTATTATTCATTGTCATTTTTGGTTTGAGGAAGACAATTGATTTTGTTGATTTTGTAGAAATTCTTTTTTCTTTGATTAAACTAAAATCTAAACTTAAATTATGTATAAAAATTAGTTCACCAAGGACGCCAAACAGTATCTGCATTGCTTAAATCATCTACTGAAATATCCGAACTATTATCTGTTGCTCCTTGAGACTCATTTGCACTGACATTTATAAAATCATAATTATTTTTATATATCATATGCTGATACTTTATTTGTTCAGATTTAAACATATCACTTTTAAATTCTGCGAACAAATTTGGTGTCGTAGCTGGCAAATTTGGCTCTCCATTGTTTGTAGTATTTACCGACGGTATTTGTTGTGGTAGTATCATTGTAGAACGCAGCAATTGATGTTGCATTTCAATTAAACGCGACGAGAGAAACTTCATTATTTTTCCACCAATTTCATCAGTTTGTCGTTGTTGCACCAATACTTGCGATATTTGGTCTGCAGCATGAACATAGCCTGATCGAAAGGATTCAACATGTGCATTGGAATTTGGCGTTTGCAAAGACAGACTGCCACGCTGTTTCAGTTTACGCATATGTTCTACAGTTAGTTCCAGTATGTCAGCTTTTTCTAAACGTGTTACATGCTCACCCTCCTGTTGTAAACATTCCACCATAAGATCCTTAAGATCATCCAAACACTTATTAATGCGTGCACGACGTTTACGTTCAAGCAATGGTTTCATAACCTTCCGATATTGATAAGTTTTGGACATTTCCATGACCATATTTATTTTGGAATTGCGTTTATATGATAAACAATTTTATTTTTGTCTTAATTTGTGCAATATTTATAATTTTACGTAAACATTCAAGTATATATCCAAGTTTTGATTATAGCACTTCTTATTTCTCGTTGTTTTAGATTCAACTATCGCACTAAAAATGAGCTCACAGCAGGTTCTAAGCATAGCTTTTATATAAAGCTGAGGTATTTCAAATAGTTTCCTATGTATTGTACTTGTTGCACAAACGAACTCAACTAGTCAGGCGTAATTAAAGAGCACTTCTCCTGCTACTGTGTGAGAGATGTACTCACTGATTAGGAAACTATGAGAAAAATAGTGTTAGAAAACGGCAAATATGTTTTTGCGCTATTATATATGGAACATAAATCAGTATTTGAAAATCGATTTTAGTAATACTTGGTTAACATATGTTTTATTTAGTACTTTCCTAGAACCTGGAGAATAAAAGATATTACTAGATATTGTAATGTTTAACAATTTTTTTTATCGCTTACATAAGCTATGATCTAAAACAATTCGGATTTGTATTAAATTTCGAGTTTAATACAAATCAGAAGGAAGTTATCGGATTGTATTTTAGAATTTAGTTTTATTAAGTTTTTTTGGCTTAGTACAAATAAAAATTTGCTACAAAGCTTATTTAGCTTATAAAAAATATGGAGTGAGTAGACCTGAGCCTATCTAAGAAGCATATTCACAACACTGATTATTATAATAATTAATAGTAAATAATAGGCTATGAATTCACTCCACCATGAAAGATCCACTGTGTGCCTAAACGCCCAACTAAATCTGCTGGGTTGATTTTACCTATTTGATTCGGGACCAAGATCTCGCTTCCAAGGTGGTTAAGAAATTATCCTCGCATTTATATCACACAAGTCGGAAACATCTTATGCATTTAGTTATATTTTTTTACATGATTGTATTATATAACATATTTATATGTAGTTTATAGTATGTTTAAGTTCTTATAGTCTTAAAAATACGATACATCACTGTTTTTTAAAATTTTTTCATGTTGTATTCATTTTTTACAGAAACAAATTAAATCCGACAAAAACTATTTTGGTGTTATAAAAACCCATTAGTTCTGAAACAAGTAAGGTCTGTAGAACTGATACACACTACACATTCACAAATACACACATACAAATAGAACTGATACACACACAAATACACACCTGAATCTCAATTGTAATATATCTTATTTTACTATTCTACTAATTAACAATAAATGGAAATAATAACAATCAATGACATTTATAACAATAAGTAATAATTAACAATATAACTTTTTACAATAAAAATGGCCCTTTTAAGAATAAATAACATGTATTACAATAATCAGCTCCTGAATGTAATATATAAAATTTATGAACAAATCTTCCTATATTTTGTTAACAGCAAAAAAAAATGTAAACCTTAAGCAACACTAAAAGTTGTTAAAAATTCTGTTTCAATGAGAACCATAAAAATTGTGCTCTCACTCTTTCATTTCAGTAATTGAGCTGGCTTCTGAACACTGATCACGGATTACTAAAGCTGTTGTTACCGTACATGCCCCTCTTGTGAAGTGGGCATGTCTTACTTATTGTCGCTGATGACAATTCTCTGCCGCTGCTATGTTTTCTACTTGTTTTTTTTTTGCTTTCGTAAATCGCTACACACTTTTCCAGACCGTGGGAAACAGATTTGTCGTGTGTTTCCCACACGATGGACGGATGGATGGATTGCGATGCGATCCGATGGGATTGCTGAAATGTTTTGTTGTTGCTACAATTGGGGCTTAACTTTTTGTATATGAAATCGCGCAATTACGAAGCATGCTTGGTTGATGATGATGGCATGAAATTTGTTGAAGCATATCGATTAACTTGAATACGTGTTTATCATGTACGGGGACGGATTTAATATGACATATGGTTACGTAGCTAAACAATGACTTTCATTGAAAAACAAGTTTTTGTTTAGATATCAAATTGTATATGACTAATCGGTTTATAGAAGTAATGTTTATATATTATTCTCGCAAGCAAACATATACTATTTAATATTTGAGTAATAATATAAATAACTTTTAGTTATGGATTTAATTGAGAGACTATAATATATCATGTTATAAATATTAACTTTAATAGCTAGTACCGATACCGTCCCTGTATTTTTTTAATCATTCCATATTTTATTTTTTCTTATATGTGATAATTCTTTACAGTGGCAAGGGTTTGTCACGATATAATTTGCTGATGTACGCCAACAACTTATTTACTAGCTCGGCTTCTGGCTTTTAGTGCTGTTAATATGAGATCTGATGTGTACCCTGAGGTCTGGTGACCGCACTACCATGTTGCTTTATTCTTTGTTTTCTTTCATTTACGTTTTGATTTGTGTTGGCATTAACCACAAAACTTTTAAGGGGGTTCCTGTTGGGGATCAACTGATAATGTGTACTATGTTTTTATGATGGGAATATGACCACCAGCTGTTTTCAGTGCTTTGTTTTATGTTTTACGTTTTACGTTTTTTATTTTTTATGTTATTTCTTACTTTCTTACTTATTCATTAATATGTCGCTCAGTTAGGCGCTCATATGCTGGTCGACATTGTTTTTGTTACGTTGGCATACTTAAACCCCTTTTTATCTGTCAACTGATTGCTATGTAGACGATAATTACGTCGCTGACTATTCATACATTGGCTTCCATATCGTGGTCAAGTGCTACTTTCATGGTTCACATGCTCATTAGCGAAATGGTTTTTTAATGCAGTAGTTATGTTTATGATTGGATTTCCGTTTCAGATTTTTTTCCAGAGTATATTTTTCTACCAATAACTTGACATAGCGTTCATGATACGATAAAAACATAAACAAACTACACACACAGAATTTTTATTGATCTTTCCTTTTTTGAACCTAAAAACTCTTTTATAATGCAGATTAAGCTTTTTCTCAATCAATCTTGACTTAAGCTTATCAGTTAATTAGATTTCCTATTATTTATTAAATATATATATAAGATAATATTTTATATTAATTGTAATTGATAATGAATGAAAAGTAATAAAGTATGAAATTTTTTTGGTTAATATAGATTTTAATATGGAGCAACCTATCTTAAACACTAACTTAATAATTGGGCTTTATGTGTATATAAGATGCGAGCTATGATGTTGAGGTTTTCTTAGTTTCGATATAATAATATTGAAATAATGAATTTTAAACTCAGTTATTAATCAAAGTTTTATTAAGACATTCTTATAGTTTTCATTAATAAACATACGTGTACGTACATTAAAAACCTTCTTGAGCGGACACTTATCGTCAGCTTAGTTTTGGACATTTAAATGGTAGAACCTGCGAAAAGGGGTTGAGTTATTCGAAAAAATAATACATACAAAGTTAAGTTTTAAAAAAATTGCACACTTAAGTGGGTTGTCTTGTCCGTATAAATGTTCTACTTATATGAGTTAATGATTATTATTTTCTAAAAATTATTTTGATTTCTCAAATCCGAAGTGGTATATATTATCATCAATTTGTGTGCTGAATTATGCGTTTGTTGAGTTTTACCAACGTTACATATACACCACTTACTTGAAAACCCTATTTGGGTATCAATGTATTTTCATTTTTTTAAAATTCTGTTTCTTTTTATTTATATTAGAAACACTATTTTATATAAATTTTATATGAAAGAAGACACTACTCAACTGGGTTGAGCAACATGTTAATAAAATTGCAAATAAGCTTATTAATTTGATTTATACCACACCAATCCTCATATGCAAATTAATAAGAAAATTTAATTCTCTTATTTTATTTACTAAAAGATTATGCGTTTTGTAGTTTCGGAAGTTAAAGCATATAAAGCATATTTATGATTAGAATTTTCATCAAATTTTTTTTTTCTTTCGTTATAATATACATCATTCATGTATTTATTTTCAAAAGGTTGGGTGTTTCTGTTGTGCACATTAATACTATCTTTAAGACCATATATTCTTCACATTCATATCTTTGAAAAAAAATTGAAGAGTACAATAAACTCAATCTTCATTAAAATATTTTTCTGAATTGAGTTGTTTATTATTTTAACTGACTTTTGAAACTAGATTTTAAAAGTAATATTTCGAAACATTTATTATAATAAATGCAATATATTGGAATTGTGGTTATTATTACAGATGAATACATAATAAATTTGTTGAATCTAAACCTTCAATAACATGATTGCTGATTGACCTTATAAGTAAACAAATAACAACACCATCTGCTCTAAAGTTTAAAGCTACTTTACACTGGAAAACAAGTGACTTGGGCTACGGCTTCATTCTTTTAAAGCCTAAATTGACTTCTTCTATTTTCAATTTCGACAGATACCAACTCAAAAGTTGGTTGTAGTGTAGACAGTGGAGTTTTCTCGGAAAGACTAAATAAATCTATTTATTATAAACTTTTAATAGCAATATGATCATTGCAGTTTTTTGCAGACGGAGATGATCGCTATTAAGGAAGTCATAGCTTGGCCTGAAGTGGATAATATATTTAATAGTAATATGTACAAACAAGATATTTTAAAATCCTATAGTTTATTCCAATATACAATCAAAATGGTTTTTGACTGTTACACATCTCTAAAAGAAATGTCGATGCTCGATATCTCTAAAAGATATATGGAGCTGGCCAGAATGGGATGCTTCAGATTATTATTCGCATTCTCTAAAAAATCTGAGCATATTGTTGATATCGTGCAAACATTTGTAAAATTCTTTCTGTGTTGAAGAGTTCAATAAATGGAAGATACGTATATATCAATGATAGTTAGGCATTGGTATATAAGTTGATCACGAACTTTTAAGAAAAAATCCAGCACTCTTATTGATATATCACGTCTTGTGGTAGGTTTGTTGCCGGGTACAGCCGATTAGAAAACAGTTCTAGCAGCTTAAATCTTTAACCTTCAAATCTTTAATCATTCCTATCGCAGTTGTGTTACTGTTCACCGCATACGCATCGCCGATTAATTATTTTCGGGATCTCTTTTTTTTGAGAATTCATGTATATATATAGTCAAACTTTCATAACTCGAACTTCTATAACTTAAATTTTCTTTAACTCACACTACAAAGAGTGCACCA